GCCCGCCCGGGAGCCCGAGGCGGCGCTGACGCGGGTCGACTTGCTCCTTTCTTCCCTTTCACCAAGCTCCCTCCGTTCCTGCCTGGGTTTTTGTTTTCTGGAAACAGTTCTCTCTTTTTTAACAGGCACGTATTTATTTTGTTTTTGAATCTCTATTGCTGAGAGCTTTACGGACGTGCCTTCTTGCTGCCCCATCGCCCCGCCCCCACCACCCTGCAGTCGGTGCCTGTAGGTAGGACCCTTGGCTAACCTCTTCCCGCCCCGCGCCCCTCCCCTGTGTGCGGGGCGGAGCTGCTGTGTCGCCGGAGCTGGCAGAGTGGCCTGTGCAGCAGGTGCCCCGCAGGGCCCGGTGGCTCAGCCTCCCGGTCACCTGAGCTGGGCTCTCTGGGCGCCCCTGTGGGCTGTGTGCACAGGCTTGTAGCTGAGCCTTGGCTGCTGTGGGCGTCCTGGGAGGATTGACCGCCAGGCCCGCTGGCTGCGAGGACCGGCTGTGGCCACAGCGGGAGGCTGCTGTGCAGGAGGCACCCCGTGGAGCAGGCCTTGCTCCGGTCGGGCTTTGGGCTCCCTGAGTCTCCCCTGAGTGTGGGGCTCACGGTGTGTGGAGTTGTCACCTGCTGTGGTCGGAATCTGTGCCCTGGGCGCAAGGTGAGCCACTGGCTGGGGCCACCTGGCAGGAGCTACGGAGAGAGCTTCAGACCTTGGACGGCTTGGGGGTGCCCGGGTGAGGCCCCGCTGTGAAGCAAGGCAGGCTGGCGCTAGAGCCGGGTCTGGGCCTTCTAGCGATAGGCTTGGGCACGCTGTCGCCAGCTGCAGCTCGTCTGAGAGGTTTTAGCGAAGGCTGACGCCTGAGCCAGGACAGGCCGTTCACCTGGGTGCCAGCGCAGGAACAGTGACCCCTGTGAGCACCCCAGGAGGAAGCCACCCCTGAAGTCCTGCCCAATGCCAGGCAATCCAGCCCCCGCCCCCCGTTTGTGTCTGGGTCCCCCAAAGCCGCCCGGTGCTGGGAGTAGGAGTAAGATAGTGCATCGGCCTCTCAAATGGAATGCCTGGGTCTCCAGCAGCCTCCATGTCACGGAGCTCCAGTCCCCTCTGGGTCCTACAGCCCGTAGTTACAGGGACTTGTCTTCCAGCCGTGGAACCCGGGCTGGGGGCTGGTGTGGGGGCGGGACCCCTTGCTCCTTACTGGCGGCCTCTGCAGCCAAGACATCCCTTCCGGTTGGAAAAACGGCTCACGAGGGTGTCGGACCCGCCCCTTCCACGCCTCCACCCCCCACCCCCCTCAGCGCACTCTCCTCTTCACTCCTCTGGTTGTGGGGCTTCCATGCCGCCAGCGTTCAGGCGGTTCTGATGAGGTTGTTCTGGGCTTTGTTGTAATTCTGATGTGGCCGTGGGAGGCGGCGAGTACCGGCGTTTACAGGCGTTTACCTACGCCGCCGTCTCGGCTCTTCCCTTCCTGTCTCATGTCAGCCAAGGCGCCATCGCAGGGACTCAGCCATGGAGGGCAAGCCCTTGGTGACGTCCAAACAGAAGACGGAAGTGGTGTGTGGGGTCCCCACCCAGGTGGTCTGCACGGCCTTCAGCACCCACATCCTGGTGGTGGTGACCCAGTTCGGGAAGATGGGGACCCTGGTCGCCCTGGAGCCCAGCGCTGTGACCAGTGACATCAGCAAGCCCGCGCTCACTACCAAAGTTCTTCTCGGGCAGGACGAGGTAACGCGTGGGAGGACTCCGTGGGGAGGCGACAGGGAGTGTCGGGGGGCAGCAGCCCCACCTGGGCGACAGTGTTTTCTGGGTCCTCGTGGTGCGAGGTGTGTGCCCGGGGTGGGTGCTTTTCCCAGCCCCTCCCAGCAGGCAAGCAGCACACACACACCCCCAGTGTGACCCTGGGGTGAGACGGTGCGGTGGCCGCCGTGCTCCGTCCCGGGAAGATGCTCACCTGGGCAGAGTCCGGCCACAGACCTGCCCTTCGGGAGCCTCCTGGTTAGAGATCAGACAGACCTTA